ATCGCTCATTCCTAACCCGTGACAGAATGAAGGGGTCGCTCAAAACTCTTCATACGTATATCCTCTGCTTGAACGATATGCGGAAAACGAGTCTCGCAATCTCCCCAATGACTTTGCCATGGAGGATATCAATGGTTCTGCCGCCGCTATATTTATCGCAGGTTCAGATACTACCTTCGCAACGACTCTGGTGGGAATTTTGAATTTGTTACTCCATCCTACCATCTTCCGCAAAGCAAGAAGTCTGCTCGATCAAACCATCGGACTCGATCGTCTCCCTTCCCTGAAAGACAGAGAACATCCAGACCTTCTCTACATTGAGCACATTGTCCAAGAAATAGTGAGATGGCGACCTCTCTCTCCCCTCGGCGTCCCACACAAGAGTCTCAAAGAAGACCTCTACAACGGCCTGTACATTCCCCAAGGCACAAACGTATTCTTCAACACCTGGGCCATGAGTCGCGACGAGTCGGTGTACCACGATCCCGATTCCTTCAACCCCGATCGATATCTCCCCATCGCGCACGGCGGCCCTGGCGAACCGTATCTTCACGCACCGTTTGGGTTTGGGCGCCGCATCTGCGTGGGTCGTCATCTGGCGTTGGCGAGTGTGTGGATTGCGTTGGCGACTTTGATCGCGACGGTAGATGTTGCGAAGGCGGTGGATGGGAAGGGGGAGGTTGTGGAGCCCGTGGTGGGCTTTACGACGGGGTTGTCGAGGTATGGATTCCTTTTTTTTTTTGGAATTTGGAATTTGGAATTTGCATTTGTATTTTGAATTTGTATTATCATGAGTTTGAAACTATCTACTTACTGATGATTACGATTATTGATTGGTGATTTAGTCATCCTCTACATTTCGACTGCAAATTTACTTCTCGCTCGAAGGGGATGGAAGATTTATTACATTCTTCTTTAAATTTATCGTAGATTAGATTTTTGTAATGCAAATCCATTTTTTATTTTTATTTTTGTTTTATTTTCGTATGTCAATAATATGATAGTTAAATCATATCGTAGGTCTTTATTTAGTGGGATTATATATATATAGAATATCTGTTATTATAGTTGTAGTTGTAATTATAATTCTAATTCCAGTACTATAATATATAAATATTTTCATTTATATCTATACATCGATATCTCTAACTCTCTTAATATCTCTAACTCTCTCAATATCTCCAACTCTCTTAACATCTATCTATTTATATTTCAATTAGATTAGATGATTGAAAATCACCCTCTAGAGTTTAAATTTATATGAGTAAATTGAATCTTATAATTTAATATTGTAAAAGAATAAAAGATAGTAAGTAGGATTATAAAAAAATCCTTTATAAATATTATAAATAAGTTATTAAGATGTAGTATCTTTAATGAAAAAGAAAAGGGAAAAGCTCTATATAGTATTTTATAAAATATATAAGAAAATAAATGGGAACTGATTATTGTTTCTAAATTATATAAAGAAGATTTATAAATATTAGTTATAAAAAGAGGTTATATAATTTGTATTAAGTTTCGCTTATAATATTAGACTGATATATACTAAACTCTTAAATACACCTACTAGAATAACTTTCTTATCTAATTACTTTTAATATAATAATATAAGAATATTAAATTGGTAAATAAAATTTGAATATTAAATACTATTTTACAAATTCGATAACTATAAGATTTTGATTATAGATTTTATTAAATAATTTTTTTAGATAGATAAATAAATAAATAAATACATTTAATTAATTAATTATTGTAACTACTCATATTTTTTTTCAAGTGTTAAGATTTGAAATTGATTGAAATTAGATATAAGATATATTTTAATTAAAAAGCTTAGATTGTTATTTTTTTATTTGTATCGAAATCTTTTTTATATCAGATTTGATTTATTAATTTTTTATGCCGATATGGTTAAGTGCTATTGTATCTATTTATCTATCTCGAGATCCTCGATTTCGAAGTTTATTAATTAGAATTAGAAGGAGAGAAGCTGGGGTGTTGAGATATGGATATCTAGACTAGATGAGTGGGTATCTAGTTGAAAGTAACATATCGTTTTTGAATCAGACTATATGAACTTATCATCTGTAAAAAACAAAGTATAATCCATCCCTAGTATCTCCATTCTCTTTATCCTAGTGATAGAACTATCGAGTAAAGTTGAGCTTGCAGTTATTGGGATGTGGATGAGTCTAAACTACTTGCGCATGCTTAGATGTTGATTTACTCCAAAGAAGTGTGTATGATTTTAATATTCGGTGTGGAATCTTATCGTGAGATATCGTAGTGCTTTAAGATTCTAGAGAATGAGCGGAAGATTATTTGGGTGGTGGTTGGCGAGGAGCTAATAAGATCTTCAAAGTCAGGTATCTATCTAGTCACGTAGTATAGTATATGGTGTATTCTGTGTCGAGTAAATCGGATATATGGATATCATGACTATGATTATGATATAACTAAAATATATTCTTTCCTGCCTGAAGAATTTCTGTAAGCTCGCTTGTTTTCGATTTGTTTAGATGAGAAAAGGTATGGTGATATGGTATTATGGTGCAAGTTCTGGGGGAGTGGACTTACTCTCGGCTAGAGTTTGAGAGGAATAAGTTTTTATCTTGATCTTCCATAGCTTCTTATTCCGGTGCAGTGAATTGTATCTTGGGAGGATTGTAGTGACCTGTTATTTGAGATTAAAGGGGATAATAATAGAGAAGATTTGATTGTTTGAGATTTAGCTATATAAAAGGGATTGGGATACTAACAAGTCCTAGTAACGCAGAATACTCACGCTCATTCATGGCTCGCTTCTCTCATGGCTCGCTTCACTATTGCATTTCATTCCCAAATACAGAAATGGTAATGGAGAAAAACCCTTTACTGGATGGTTCATGCGAAATGTCGCGGAGATGGGAGGCGGGCAAACCAGTTCATGATTTTCAAATGAGATTTGCGAATTGCATCTCACATGTCCAATATTCCAGATCATCTATGTATCTTTTTCCCCTACTTCAGAACCTTTTTATTTAGCCAATAGACTAATCTTGTCTTCTCTATTCCCAAATGTAATCTTACCAAACATTGGCCACTACAAAAAAGGTTCATGAACTTCGTTTCTTCATTCTATCATTTCATCATCCCATATTACACCCTATACAACCCCAGTCCTACCACCTTCTTCAAGCACAATTGTTAAGATCCTCCTCACAATACACAGCTTGCAACTGAATCGCATAACAACCACTTGGAATTGTCGCTCCAGCCGTCGTATAAAAAACACCAATAACGCCAGTGCTAAAATCTGTGTTCGTCAAACAAGCTAGATGATCACACATTAGCAACCAAGCCATCAATCTCCAGACACATCACAAATCTCCTCTCATGAAGAAGGGAAAAAAATGCTTACCATAAAAAGCTCCCGCACCATTAACCAACAAATTCCCACTCTTGTCCAAACTATAGCCCTTCTGCGGACTCGCCCACACATCTAGCTGTACCCAGCTTCCTGCCGCGCCGTGGATGAAATACGCGGGGATAGCATCATCTGATGGATCCATCCCGATGAATGATAGTACGCCGTTGGTGATTGTTCCTCCAACGGGAAGAGTCTGGAGGGGTTGGAGACCGGCGACGAGAGTCCCGGATACGGATCCGACGGATCCGAAATGCACGTTGTTGTAGGGGGTGTAGGTGGATTTGGAGAGGAGGGAGAATTTGGCGGTGGTGGCGGCGGAGATGAGAGGGAGGAGAGTGCTGAGGGAGAGGAGGGTGATGGGGAATTTCATGGTTGTGGTTGTGGTTTGGAGAATTCTGGGGTGGTGTTGGTTGGTTGGGGAAGGGAGATTGGATGATGGATGTTGGATGGATAGATAGATAGTAACTGATAATCAGAAAGTCGGAGACACTCAAATAAAATAGACAATACATCCACTTTATAGGAATAAAAGCCACCTCCCTCATCTCACCACCTACCAGTCTGCACTTGCAGGCTTGCGACAGCATGACAACTTCAATGGCATTCTCACCCTCACCCCCATCCCAGCCCGTTCCCCTTCCATCCCATCACCAATTTTCCACAAATAAAGAGGTGATATCTTTCATCGCCAAGAGAGAAAAAGACGCACAGTAATCATATATAATAAATCCTTCATCCCATCTCCATCCCAGACCCGTTCACGAGTCTATTGTAAATACATACATAAATCCATACATATGCTTACTATTAGCACTTCCCCCCTCTCCCCTCACCTCACCCATCCCTTCCATACAAAACAGGCAGGCAGGCAAACAAACAAACAAGCAAGCAAGAAAGCAAGCGGTCAACCGCCTCAAGCTTGGCACCCGGCAGGAAGCCGCCCGAGAACCGGACCCATATATCCAGATCTTCTGCCCTGCCCTGCTCCTGCCCAGAACACCTAATCAATCATCCACGCGAGAATCCGAGCGTCCGGGGTACCATACACAGTAGTCTAGTCTAAACTTGCACATTTATATCCACAAACCACATATATACGTCCGTCTGTACGTTGAAGAAAATTTTATCTAGCCCCCCGCACACCCCGAAGAATAGACCCGGACCTTGAATATCTATCTATCTATCTATCGATGCCAAGAATACAAGCTACAATAAGCATAATCGATGCAGACGATGTGCATTAGCGAGAAATCTTGTACTGTATTGGGGATGCAATGCATGCCTATCTGTTCGCTTCGGAGATCACGTATAGTACCTACCTAGGTATGCAAGTACATATCTCGGATGCCAAGATTTTGCTATGTGTCAGCTTGGTCGGAGAGATTCTGGACTTCCTTTTGGTGATGAGTTTGGGATAGGGAGATGAAGATGTGGGATGTGAGGGGTAGAGCCACTTTGAGGACGTATGGAGCGTTGTTGCTTTGTGTGTAGAGGTACCGCTCGTGCAAGTTAGCATTGTGCTGACAGAGGAAAGTCTCTTATTTTTTGCTGTGAACAAGTAATTCTATTATTTTTGTGATTCCCCTCTTTTTTATATTATTTAATTAAGTAATTAACTAGGTGTTTTTTATAGGGGAATAGATATAGTACAAAAGTTACCGAAGCTGACCGCCACCATTCATACATTTTTCACATATACAATTATAGACACAATATATCATCCGCTCCTCAATTACCCCTGACTTCTCGCTTCCCTTCCGTGTATAAAATGAAGCATGCCCAAACGCCACGCTCATGCATTACTATCTCCAAATCATTTTAATCATTACCCATGTTGCCCAGTAACCGGGGTTTTGCTATCGTATTTGTCCAGCTCACTTCCATCCCCGGAGTATCCTATCCTATCTCGATTGTCATCGATGATACGGGCGTATTCGATTAGAAGTCTGAAGAGATAGATCTGTTTCGAGGCTAAATTAGCACAAGCCATTCACGGTGTCTGTAATTTAATACGGGAATAAACTCACCTCAATATCCTCCTTTCTTAAAACCTTGTTGGCCCATTCGCTTCCCTGTCTCCCCAACTTTCTTGCCTCGAAATCATGCCTTTGTACATACGGCTTTCCATCTCTTCCTTTCGAGTCTGCATCTCCTAATCCAATGAAATACGTAAGGATACTATACAACTCATCATACCGATTATCCAATGGGACAAAATGTCTCCATTGAAATAATCGACTGTCATGCCATTCCCTGAAGATAGTGCTCTTGATACCCAAACCCTTACTTTTGAGAAAGGCATGCCAACGTCCGGAGAATGAATGGCCGTCGACATCGATGAGATATTTACTTTTGAATTGGTCGGTGAGTTCTACCGATGGCTTGTAGGTCCAGACATCATCGTAGAAGTCACAGTTTGGTACGCAGGAAGCAGCTTCGGTGAATCCAGCATCCGTATGTTTAGTGGCGAATTCGCTGGGTTGGAAGTGATTATAAGGTTTATATGTACCAGGGGTGGTGGGATCCATGGCCATGATGTTCACATTGGTATCTTTCATAACGGTGCCATTGGTAAGTAGAACTAATCTTTGACGATGCATCCTCTTCCAAGTCTCTGCAGTGTTAGTTCCCCCAGAAGTGACACCTCTCCAAATCATGTTGTCCGCCTTGTCATCCCATCCAACGTCACCTGCTGGGTTGTAGGCGTATCGAGCATCATCATACTCGTAGTATTTATTTGCAGGGAATAGAATATCATTGTTGATATTAACTTTACATTCCCCGAATACAGGCAATGGCAATTTGCTGGCCGTTACTGTACTGCTTGCATATAGAAATCCATGTAAATCTTGAATTTCAGGACCGACTGTACAAAGATCCGAAGAAAGGTTAAAATTTGTAATAAATCCTCCGTCTGGACTTTTATAGGTGGCTTCTGCATCAGATTTAGACATTGAGTCTCTGGCATGAGATTCCGGAGGGCAGGCTTCTTTTGCAATCAACATATATTGTCGACCAGGTGCTCTAAACCACTCTGGGTCCTTCAATAAAGGCTCAGTCTTCCCATCTTGAAGAAGACTTGCCCCCTTTTGCCACAACCCAGACATATTTGTAGTGAATTCGGCTACAGCTTCTGGTAACATAATTCTGCTAGCCGTTTCGTTAGCAAGGAGAGCTTGAAGATCATCCCATGGTATGGCTAGACGTGGCTGATCTAGCCTGTTCATAGCAATATCCATGTCCGGTAAAAACTTGACGAAGGGTTCAATCATTTCTTTCATAGTTTCTGCTCTCCAGTTTTCATTGCTCAACTTCCAAACTTTCCCAGATCGTATGTGAATCCCAGAAATACCATCATCGTGATTGGCATGAAGATGCGCCGCTTGGGATCGAATGATAGCGGGATCGACTCCCCAGAATGGCCGTAGATCATCCATAATTTGCTCAAAGTCGTCGATATTGTAAACGTTCTTGTCTCGAGCATATTTATACCAATCCCTGAACTTTGGCGGCGGGTGCCTTCCATATTTCTTTCTATACTTTGACACAGTTTCCTTGAAAGTTTTTGATCTGCTTTCATCGTATATTCGAAATGCTTCATCCGCTTCTTTCATGAGCGCAGCTATAGGATGTTGGTCTGCAATATCACCCACCACTTCTTGGTCTTGATGCGACGTCGACGATTTTGAGGACTATGTAAAATCCAAGATTAATTGGCAAACCCAGGTCAAGAGGCGAAGACAGTACTAACATCTGAATCGGGCTTATTTTTCAACCCTGGTAAAGGGATCTTCTTCACTTTCGATCGCACATCCGCACCAGAGAGCATTGACAGATTGAAAAGAAGTATTACAAGACCAGTAATGGCTAGAAAGAGAAAAAACCGACGCTGACCGCGATCAAGCCCCATGATGCCGGCTTGACGTATTCACTCCCTCGAGTATGTCGTCTCTTGATACAATTGTGCGCGCATGCGAGTGAGTCTTGGAAAGGAAGATTCTTTGGTGTCATAAAAGAGTTCGAGATGATAGTAGCATTGAACAGTCCATCAGGAGGAGATCTTGTCTACTGTATACTGTAGTTTTGTAACTTGTAGATGGTATTGGTAGGTATTGGGTTACAAGATAAAGAAGAAAATTTGACGAATACTTTTTTTTTTGGTCGAATTACTTTCATGTAGGTACTCGATTGGATTGATGATGGATTGGGTTGGTTGGCCTGTTGGTTATATATTAGTCTATTCTGTGTTCTGTCTGCAGCTACCTACTCGAGCTACTCCGGTCCCTGGGAATTGTCTGATAAGCTTCTTTTCTGCCCTTGATCTGCCAGGGAAAATAAAAAACCCGAGAAGATGATCGAATATTGAGATTTCTTAAAGCGGCAGCAGTTTTTAGATAACCAAATAAACCAATCAGCAACCAGATCAATAATTTTAATTCAGAACCTCTTGGTAAGGCTCGATATTGACAAAGACCTCTTAATCCACCCTCTCTCCTCCCCCTCCCTCAACACAATATGCCTCCACGATTACCAGCGCTCACTTCTCATTGTCGCTCGGCGCCAACTCTGGCCACACCTTTGGCTGCATTCCTTGCACCCTTGATGCAAACCCGGAACGCTTCGATTCTTTCATCTTTGTCGGACAACTCTGGAGCATATAATAAACGTATACGAAGAGGTCGAGGTCCATCTTCGGGGAAGGGAAAGACATCAGGACGTGGTCATAAGGGTCAGAAGCAGCATGGAAAAGTGCCAGCACGATTCCAAGGTGGTCAAACACCACAAGATGTTGTTCACGGCGTGAGAGGATTTGAGAATCAGTATGAATTCCAAAGTTTTTCTACATTCAATTGAGATCCAAAGTTCTCTCTGAAAGGTCTTCTTGTCGAACTATAGCTAATGAACTTATCAGTTTCTCCGTTGATATGTCCCCAATAAATCTTAATCGCATACAAGAATGGATTGACCAAGGTCGGCTCGATCCCACACGGCCCATCACTTTGAAGGAATTGGCGGATTCTCGATGTTTACACGGAGTAAAGGATGGAGTAAAGCTATTAGCGAGAGGAAAAGAGGAGTTGAAGACGCCAATTAATATTCTGGTCTCTCGCGCTTCGGCGACGGCAATCGAGGCAGTGGAGGCGCTCGGAGGAACAGTCACAACTAGATTCTATACAAAACCAGCGATTAAGAGACTCTTAGCGGGTGAATCTGTCTCCAGTTCCGTTCCACTCTCAGCAATCGACGCCCAGTTAGTTAGCGACTCTCCAATCCTCACAGCCGCTGCTGCTGCTTCACCATTCTCGTACCGCCTGCCAGATCCCACAAGTCGTAAAGACATCGAATACTATAGAGATCCGGCGCACAGGGGCTACCTAAGTCATACCGTGGAGGAGGGTCAAGGACCAAGTTTGTTCTTTAGGGCTCCACGTACAGGAAATTTCCAAAAGAAATCGAAGAAGACAGGTACAGGTGCTGCAGCGAGTGCCAACAGGATATGGTAAATGTTGCCATTGTATATTAAATATGAGGAGTGGCTATGACGTATTCCGATATGGATCGAGCAAGAGTTTTGCAATTTTTGGGTGATTGAACGCCATTCTTTGAATCATCAGCCCACAGACCTGAAGGCAACAGATGGTGTGGATTCATTCCGACTATTGCGAAATGTTTTTATCTCTCCATGAGCATGTCGTACACTGATTCAGCGAGGACGAAATATAGGGCCAGGTGCTCGAGTCTCATCTTGCTCTGGTGTGGTTTAAAGCTTTGCAGCTAGGTCACACTTGACCAAGAAATGAATGTTTACATGTGTAATGAACCCTCAAATACTACCCCGCAGACCGAATACATCAGTGATCGAGCATCAAAAGTTTTGTGTAAAGAAGAGTTGTAGTCTTATATTTGCTCATCCTGCAGCCTCCTCTTGGATCTAAAATGCCCGATGTTTAATCTCACAATGATTAGCTATGATATTTCCATGCACCAAGGCTTCTTAAAGACGAGAAATTTAATTATTGAGGAAACTAAAACCTGCATCTTGTACATAGATTAAAGGGGCATATATGTTTAGACGACATCATTCTTGTGACTACGAAAACGTGACTTATCTCATACATGGATGACGATATGAATAATTATTGAGTATTGCATAACATATCGTAGACCATATCAAGATAATTCTAAATATCACCAAGATTCCAAATCGACCTCTCAATTTGAGTTTCCTGTCACTTGGATCCATACCTCCTCCACAGTCCCACCTTGGTAGTGTACTAAAATATGCGCGGTTACATGGTGAGAAAGCATGTCCAAGCTTTCCCGCGTCTAGAGCTTCCAAGCTTCCAAAATACTCAAAACAATTATCGATGATAACGACGTTACGATACAAAATTACTCAATTCTGTCTTACTGTACATAATTATACATCCTATAGGATATTAGCAATATAATGTCTCTATTCGGAGATGACGACGAGCCTGTTGGCGCAACAATCCCGTCAAAGTCGCGATTATCCCTCTTCGACGACGAGCCAAGTTCAACCCCAGGATCCAAATCTTCATTATTCGCAGATGACGACGATGTCTCTGGAGGCTCGCCATGGGGTACATCATTGCCAAAGAAACTAGACCGGGGAGCTTTACTAAAAACTCTTCTTCCCACATCCGACGTGCCCGAGAGTTATATTGACATGTTTGATGATATGCTCAAGGATGGCAATGAATCCAATGGAAAACTTAGTAGGACCGGCGTGACAAAACTTCTAGGTGCTGCAGACTTGGGCCCTGAGAAGTCGAGCTGGATCATGAAAATTATTGCCCCTACTTCACAACCACAAGATCTAGAACGGAACGAGGTCAATGTACTATTGGCTTTGATCGGGTTGGCCCAGGAAGAAGAGGATGTCCATGACGTTACACTTGATGGTGTAGATGAGCGACGAAGGAGTCAGTGTCTTTTAATATTCACTTTCGCTTGTTCTAATCTGATAAATGCGTAGATCTCCCAGTGCCCAAGCTTGCAAGCTTGACAAACTTAGCAATCGCAAACTTAGAATCCTCTGCGACCGATGAATCAACTGCGAAGCCTGCTCAGCGACCTGCCACCCCACCATCTGTACCATCCATACATAACTCATTGTCCCCCCCACAATCTAGAATGTTACGAAAAGATTCCCTGGAATTTCCCGAGGCTGATCCATGGGGAAGCCCGGCTCTTCACAAAGGCCATAATCATGCTAGTCCCAGATCGAATGGACCCCCGACAAATGGAGCACGCGTGAGAACTGTAAGTGGCTTCACAAATACTTCTACAGGACCATCAAATGAAGATCGACGTCAGCAGTCTAGGAGTGCTCCTATGGAGCCTGCGAGTGGAGGATGGGGCTCCTATGATGCGAATCCAAATTTTAACAACTCAGCAACACCACCAGTTGGCGGTAGTGGTGGATTCGGTGGCGATGGTGGGGAAGGGGAACGGCCAGAGGAAGCTGCTCCGCCAGCCCGCACATTTGGCGGTGGCCGTGTGACTAGCAATGGAGCAGAAGAGAATATAGTCGTCACTCTGTTAGCTGAGAAAGAGGGCATGTTCTTATTCCAACATCATAACTATCAGGTTTCTTCTGTTCGCAGAGGAAGTAAGGTTGTGAGAAGATATAGTGATTTCGTCTGGTTGCTAGATTGCCTACAAAAGCGATTCCCTTTCAGACAATTGCCACTTTTGCCCCCAAAGAGAGTCGCAGGTATGTTTGACTTGCCCACCAAATTTTCATTGCTGACCTGAGGGGTTCATAGTGAATGGAAATCATCTGGCTGCAGAAAGCTCATTTATGGAGAAACGCAGAAGAGGATTAGCACGGTTTTCCAATGCACTTGTCCGACACCCTGTTCTTAGTCAAGAGCAATTGGTCATAATGTTTCTGACTGTTCCAACAGTAAGTCCTCACTTCTCTTACATCTTACATATTGTTACTAAGTATAGGCTAATTAGCATCAGGAGCTTGCTGTTTGGCGAAAGCAGGCTACTATATCTGTTCAGGAGGAATTTGTTGGACGGCCACTACCCCCGGGACTAGAAGACTCTCTTCCCCCTACTCTGAATGATCTCTTCGCCCAAACTCGAACCGGTATCCGACGATCTGCAGAAGCCTATGTTAACATGTGCAATCTTATGGACCGCCTAGCAAAACGCAATGAAGGACTTGCTGCAGATCATTTACGTATGGCGCTCTGCTTACAGTCGCTCACTGATGTCTCCCAAGACACCTACGCTATCGATACCAATGATGTGCCACTGTTGAACGAGGGTCTTCATTCTACTGCCAAGCATCTTTCCAACAGTCAAAACATTCTCGAAGATGAGGCTAAGGCCTGGGATCAAGGCGTTCTAGAAGACTTAAAGAAGCAACGAGACTCTCTTGTCAGCATGAGAGATATGTTCGAGCGTCGGGATCGTTATGACAAAGACAATATTCCATATTTAGAACGCAGGATTGAAAACAACGAGAATAAATTAGTGACAATACGATCAAAGCCTGAAAACATGGTTAAGCCAGGAGAAATTGAAAAGGTCACAGAAGCAATTATCAAAGTAAGTTCCACAAAGCAGAAATTGAAGCTTACGAGAACTAACGTTTCATAGGATAAGGAGTCTATTGTAGCTCAGCATGCGCGAGGGATATTTATCAAAGAGTGCATAAGAGATGAGCTCATCTACTTCCAATCAACACAATATAACATCAGTCGACTAAGTCAAGACTGGGCACAAGAACGTGTGAAGTACTCGGAGCTTCAAGCCCATAACTGGAGACAACTGGAAGAGGAGCTCGAGAGTATGCCACTTGGGGATTAGGAACTATATGGCGGCTGCTTTTCATTGCGTTCTTTTCAAAACTCAAATTAGATACCATTAGCGGCATTCAATTTCGGGGGGTTCATTTATTCGAGCGTCTGTCATACTTGTATACATAAATATTGTTTGGGATGGACAGCGATTTTGTGTGTGGGTGAGACCCATGACGGTGTGGGCCAGTAATAATGATACAAATCAATCATACTAATTTTTGTTTAATTTGAATTGTCTCCTGAAGTTTTTTGATAGGTGATTTTAGCGCCTTTTAAGAAGAAAGCAGCATCAAAATTGCTTTCTTCTGGTCGTTCCATACATAATACAATATTAATCAAATACCACTTCAAACTTTCGAGTAGACATCTCTCCTTTTTGTCGAAGGCTATCATTCTCGTCTAAGAACCTGAAACAAATATCGCTTATGATAAACTATCTTTCGTGCTTTCTTATCTTAATACAACACCCATAACTTTATTTTTGCGCTAGGCTGCGGGACTAAGGCCGGACCAGAAGCCCATGTTCTTAAATTCACAACCCCGCCATCTCCTCCTCCAGACTTCCAATAAACACCAAACATAGAGGGACTTTTTTTCAAGATGCCTCTCAATGCGCCACAACGTGCTATGCTCAATGAGTTCATGCAAATTACTGGGGTTTCAGAAAGAAATGCTCTGAAAGTGAGTAAACTGAGATCAGCCTGTTGCCTTGAGCTCTTCCACCTCAGATGTCAAAACATAAACCCATTTACTAATAGATCTTGTTTCGCAGATTCTTAAATCGACGGGATGGAAACTGGAATCTGCATGTGATAGGTGAGCGAATATTTTACTTCCCAGAACTCGAGCTGCGCGAACGAATATCGATAAATGTGGACTACGATTCGACACACGACACACTATCCCCTCGATATTTGATATGACTTCGAAATATGATGGCATCCTTAAGAGATGATCGGGATACGCGGCGCAAGTCAAAAGTGTTCTCGTGCATGAAGTTTGATGGGTCAACATATATGAGATGTTAGAAAACACTCAAATACGCTTGTTTACACTCGCTGTCGGTGGACCCCAAAATCGTTGTTTTAATTGGAGGATTGCCGATTTAGTCGACTATGTTCAGCTCGAAACCCATCACTATTTTACCTTGCTATCTCTGGCTTGGTCCAGATATATGCTGTTCAGTTTCATCCACCGCAGTGAGATGTTGTAGGGTTTATTCGAAGTCCATATTTAAGGCAGCAGACGTCTAGTATGGCTCCGGTTACTGATCATGAGTACGGACACTATGAATTATCAGTCAACACTTGCCAGCTCACGCACTCATTTGAATTCTCACAATACATACTAATGATCTAATTGTAACAGCTTCTTTCAAGGAAATGGTGCCCCTCCCCAAGCGAAAGAAAAGGAGTCTTTGACGAAGCTTTTCGAGAGCTACCGCAGTATGTATCTCGAATAATATCTCTTCAAGGCAGTTGAACACAGAAGAAGCTGAACATTGGTGATCTAGCTTCCAATGATGATGTTGACATGGTTGGTGTTGACGGTACTATGAAGTATTTTGGGGAAGATTTGGGCATCAATCTGGAAGGTGTTGAGTTTCTGATCCCCTGCGAAATCATTCAAGTACCATCTATAGGAGAGATGGCCAAAGACGACTTTGTCAAGGGATGGAAAAAGTTGGGGTAATACTGTCCCCACAATGCTTACCTTCAGTTACTAACACTTTTGAACAGCCTTGATACATTGCCCAAGCAAAAGTCATACATTTCAGAGGTCAAGGATTCATTGTCGACCGACGTGGAATTGTTCAAGAGAGTATATAAACACACCTTCATCTGTGCTCGTGAGAAGGGACAGAAAGCTCTTTCGTTAGAACTTGCCAGTGTATACTGGGAGCTCTTGTTCAACTCTCCAGGAAAGGAATGGAAGACCGCCTCAACCAATTGGATCAAACTCTGGTTGGATTTCCTCGGACAGAATTGGAAGAAGAGTGTCAACAAGGATTTATGGAATCAGACATATCAGTTTCATGCAAAGACAATGGAGGATGAGAGTCTGAGCTTCTGGACTGAAGATTCAGCATGGCCAAGTGTCATTGATGAATTTGTTGCATGGGTAAAGAAGAATAGGGGAGATTCGGAGGAAGTTGGAGAGACAATGGAGACTGATTGAGAAGGAATGATAAAGATCTAGAAGGGATGCATTTTGATTTCTTTTTACTTGCAGCGAAGCATATTCCTGGTAGCGCAATGGCGTTCTAGGTAGCAGACTGGCGTTTGAAACACCATACAAGAATGTGAGGCGGAAATACCAATCCCTCAATTCCATAATGTAAAACCAACCTCCATACCCTGGCATGGAAATTTTGATCGCATTTTCCTTTTGACGCCTACTAATACAACATACAAATGACACCATGCTACTACTCATTTCTCCTTTGTATGTTCCTCCATTGTCCAAGGGATAGTCGAACCAATCTTACTCAAACTCTCCAATGTGCCATCTCCCAACTTCACCGAACTGAACTTGATCATCCGTGGATCTAATCCGAGAGTTGTCCGTACGTTATCTTGCGTCTTGCTCGAGGCGTCGTATCTCATAACAAAGTAATGTCCTTCATGGTATTGTGCTTGATGTTTGCGTGTTCGTTTTGGTAGACTAGATACTCCCCAGTTGCGTATGCCGCGAATGGTACCGCCGGATCTGAGTATGAGGGAACCAGCTGTGCGGGCAATTCTGTAGGTGAGGAATGAGTCGTTAGTCTCAATTATTGAGTTGGGTAGGAGGGGAAATTGAAAGGCGATTTACTCTTTGACCTCAACGAGGTTGCCGGGTCGAACCTAGAGATTTGTTAGATTGTATGTTCTCTTTTACATACTCCATTTGAGAAAGACTTACAATTGCGACGAGCTCATACAACATCTTGGTGGCTACATTCAAATTCTGATACTATTGGCATCGACTCAAGATTGTTCAGGAATCCATCGGAGTTTAACCTTAGATTACCCGACGCTAAAAAATAATTTTGAATTGCGATTGTGACGATAAGAAAACCCCCACAATCTATCAATTATTTTTTCTGAGGGGTCGCAAACTGTCTACCAAATTGTCTACAACACGCATATACAAAATGTCGAAACGTCCAGCCGAAGATGAGAACATGGATCTGTCCTTGAAGGCAGGAGAGAGACCGGAAAAGCCAGAATTGGATGATGGGGTGGGAGAGTTCGAAGACGAATTCGAAGATGAATATGAGAGCGAAGATGAGATTTTGGAGGCGGGTGTTGATGGAAGACCTGATGCTGAGAGAGAGGCTGAAGAAGCGGGTTAGTAGAATCAATTATGAAGCTGTTGTGAGTGCGCATTTATGGGAGTTTACTAATGCGCTTACAGAGGCCATGGAAGTCGATCAACAAACTTTCATAGTTGGTAGGAACAAACTAGAACCAGGACAGACATTATCCCCCGATCTTACTACATACGAAATGCTTCATGCTCTCAGTACCCCCTGGCCTTGTCTTTCTTTCGATATACTTAAAGATGGTTTGGGCGATAATCGAAAAACATATCCCGCTACTATGTATGCAGTTGCAGGAACACAAGCTGAACATAAACGGGAAAAGGAAAATCAATTGATGGTTATGAAGTTTAGTGGATTGAGTAGAATGGAGAGAGAACAGGGCGAAGACGAATCGGATGAAGATGAAGATGAAGACTCGGATCCTATCCTTGAATCGGCTTCGATACCTCTCACTGCTACTACAAACAGAATACGTTCGCATCAGATACCCGCTTCGGACTCTTCGCGGCCTCCTACTACCCTTACTGCTTCAATGAGCGAATCCGGTCAGGTTCTTGTTCACGATATTACTCCTCATCTATCCTCTTTTGATACCCCAGGCACTGTTATCACTCCACAACAAAACAAAGCTTTAGCTACTCTTAAAATGCACAAATCGGAAGGCTATGCCGTTGATTGGTCACCTTTGATATCTACTGGGAAGTTGGTAACAGGAGATAACGATGGCAAAATTTACGTTTCTACAAGAACTGCCGGAGAGAGTTGGTCAGCCGATGCACGCCCATTCACAGGCCATACTGGAAGTATCGAGGAATTGCAATGGAGTCCTTCGGAAAAGAACGTTTTCGCATCCGCGTCCAGCGATGGAACAATCAAAGTCTGGGACATCCGAAGTAAATCTCGAACCGCAGCACTTACAGTCCAGGTTTCCGAAACAGATGTAAACGTCATGTCCTGGTCGCACCAAACTTCTCATCTTCTCGCCTCCGGCGCCGACGACGGAGTCTGGGCAGTTTGGGATCTACGAAATTGGAAACCTTCAAAGACTTCTGAACCGTCTAAACCTTCTCCAGTCGCTTCTTTCAATTTCCACAAAGAGCAAATTACAAGTGTAGAATGGCATCCTACTGATGATAGTATTGTTGCGGTTGCAGCTGGTGATGACACACTAACGCTGTGGGATTTGGCAGTCGAGTTGGATGATGAGGAAAGTAAGGATACTGGTGGAGTTAATGATGTTCCTCCACAATTGCTATTTGTGCATTATATGGCGAAGGTCAAGGAGTGCCATTGGCATCCACAGATTCCAGGAGCACTTGTTGGAACTGGAGAGAACTTCAACGTTTTTAAGACGATTAGTGTTTAAAATGATGAGGCTCATGGCTCTTGAAAGTAAAGAAAGGAAAAACAAAACGGTCTAAAAGTACAATGAGAAAAAAAGTTTAACATCTGCTATCTGTGGTTCGAACTTGGAGTTGTGATGATGAACCATATGTGCAAATTGTAGGCAACAGTTGTTCCTCTGAATCGTCGTGAGGATGTATCGGCTAGCTCCGGGAATATCCCAGATTCACCTACCTAGAGATACTCCCCTGGTGAAAATATTCTTCACTCTTGGAATTTTCTTGGGTTACATCGGTTCGCGAGAAAATCTGGAGTTGCCTATTCTATTCTAGCGGATTCCCGCCACTTTCTACGTGCAGGGAATAATGGCTGTCTATCTCCAAGCAAGGCTTGGATCGACAGGCGTGGTACTCTTTTCGTATGTATGGAGCCCCCGCATTCTGGCGCGAGGAGCGGTTTCTGGTTAATGGTGGGTGGGAGATGGGTTTGAGATGACGGTGGTCTAGGAATGGGTCTAGGTTCAGGGTCAGGAGAGTTCTGGAAAGGTGATGGAGGCTCGGAGGGTAAAAAATTAATTAGGTAGAAGCGAGAAGTTGGAAGCTAGAGGTTCGATGTAGGAGTAGACTACCAGTAGTATGACGAACTATTGAAGCTTGGAATGGATGGTTGGATGGATAGATGGGTTTGTGTAAGGAAGCTAGAGAATGAGATCCGGAGGGAAGGGTGGAATGTGATACTTGTTTAGCTGAAGAAGATGGAGATGAGTAAGTAGAGTAGTGTGAGGATTAGGAAAGTAAAGTAAAGTTAGGCATGAAGACTTTTGCAGCTCGCTTGCTCTGGAACAGATGATTCGACATTCGGGATTCGAGATGGGACTTTTTGTGCTCTCGTCTGTCTAGGTATCTTACTCTGTCACATTCTTTTTTCGATCTATCGATCCTATATCTTTTCTTTCCTTTATTTTGTTCCGCTACGCTTTACTTTCTTTCCTTTTCTTGCGTTCGTGTTTCTTGGTATTGGAATATCGTGCATGGTATGATTTCTCTCTCGCGTCGACGATGCCAGCATGCAAGCTTCCTCGTGATCCAGTCAGCAACAGGGTTTCTTGCAACCCCGTCAGCCTCTCGAGGAGCTAGGAGATGTATTGGTGGCTAGGCGTAAGGATGACCTTTCCCCGCAAATTCCGCAAAGGTGGTGGAACGCACGCATGTTGTACAGACTACTGGTGGGCTGTGGAAAAGTGTTGTGAGAATGATATGGGGTGATGGCGGCTCTTTTTATTGTGTTTATTTTTTGCTTTGTTTGTGCGAAGAAGCTTTTTTGTATTTTGTTTTGGGGAATTTAAAATCAATTGCTCGCTTGACCGATCTGGATACGGTATTAATGATACAGCCTCGAGATGTAAAGTTGATCATCATTACCGGAAGAGTGTTCCAAATCCCATCTATTACTTTCCTTCATTATTGAGGAAATGAGATGAAGATACTTCTATAATCACCTCTTTCGATCCACTTCATTGCCCAAATTGGCAAGCACAAACTAATAGAATCGAATGTGGACATGATACCATTGCACCATACTACTTCCACTACACTCGGCGTTCAAACCCAAATCCAAACTCAAGTCTCACAGGTTCTATCTCCTTCCTTCCAATTCGGCCCCCTCAACCCCAACAAATCCAATGGCACTTTCAAATTCACCTTCTCCTCTACCTCTCCCTCACCATGTCTTCCCTATCGCTCGAAGCGTACACGCCCCCTCTCAGACGTCGATGGAAACTTGAACGCAGATACCGTGAATGAAGGACCAGGACGAAAAAAGAGAAGATTGCGTCTTCATCTTATTACCTCGCGATTGAGTAGACCATTCTCGGTGCCTGCAAGTTATAAACATGCTAGAATATTTGGCATCAAAGGAGTGTGTGTGAAGGGTGTTGGGGGGGCGAAAAGGCTTGGTGTATTTGGAGGAGATGGGAAAGTTGGAGGGAAGAAAGAAATTGGAATTGGACGGAATGTGCTTCGGAAGGTGGCGATTTTCAATCGGATCAGGTTGCAAATGCGGATGCATGGGGCAAGGGAGTCAACGATTCGTGAGCGAAAGCAACAGACATTGTTAGATGTGGATATGCACTTGAGGGAGATTCTCGAAGAAAAACAGAACAAAAGGTGGAATGAATTTGTGTTGCCTCCGAGTCCACTTGGAAGGTCGAACTATGATGTTTTAGATTCAGAAGATGAAATGCTGATGGATGAAATGGATGATGGGTGTGAGAGGACGATCTATAGTGACTTCAATGTCATGTGTTCTTCGGAAGAGGGAGAAGATGAGTATGAGTACCTTGATACGCTTGATGGACTTTCTCCCGAGGATATGCAAGAGCAGCCACTGAGTCCGCCCGAAGATGAGAGAATTGTGGAGATGCTGAGAGAGGAGGAAAGATTGCATGATAGCTATTTTGTATGTGTTGGAGGTGCGGGGATGGGGGTTTCGGTGGGGTAACTGGCTGTGAGATGAAGAAACTCGATAGTCGACTGGAATTGACAATGGAGGCAATCTCAGAGGAAGATTTGGGGACTATCTACTATGACAGATGAGATCATTTGTCGGGGGGTCTGTAGAGGTCCTCAAATCTAATTTGAAAGCTATACAGAACAACTTGGAAGGGGGGCTGATCGACTTCATGGCATTTGCATGGGTATGTGTTCACAAGTATCCAAAAACGTATCAACGCATAAATAGTTGGATTTATGAAGTTTAAGTGTTCTCAAAATGCTTTTTGTAGCTTGGTGGCGCGGTCTACTGCAATATCACACATAGCCTGCATTGGAGTTAGCTATAAAAAAATCATGATTAAATCTCGAATACCGCGTACCTGAATAGCCTCTTTCCTCTCGAGTCCAATATCTCCTCTTGATATTCTTCTTCTCATATCTTCAAAAATTATAGGTCTTGATCTTCCATTTACGAAAACACTAACATTATAGTTAGCCCTTGCTTGTCCACTATAGGAGATAGGCATGTTCATACACATATCTTAAGCCTGGGAAAGTCTTCTCATATTCTTCATTGAGAGCTTTTAACTTTCCAGCTTCTTCTGTAGGTCCAGTATTCAATTGAGCTTGTTCGGCTTTAGATTGTACACTTTCTACTTTCTTCTCGCCTAATCTAGGATGGGAACCAAGAATCTTGTCTAGCCACTCTCTATCACTTGGTAATGTACTTTCTGACAGATCAGCAAGTTGGGTGCCGACACTTGCGATAAGATCATTGTACGACTCGAAAGTTGTGGTATGAAGTAAATCCATAGAGAGTGTATGGAGAGCAGTACATGGCTCGAATAGGGCGTCGAGGACACTGGATCTCTCAACAGTGGATAGGGAGGGAATTCCAGCGATTGGAGGTATGGAAGTCATCGTTTTTGATATCGATAGAAAAGCTCTCGGGGAGAACGATAAGATTTGATGGACAAATGTTTATATATTTCGAACAACATATAACCTACCTAAGCATTTAATAATAAGTATTTCTCCATATATATCCCAAAGTGTGATTGATGAAGTCACTTAAAGGACATGAAATTCCCCACACAAGGCCGGCGCCGGGAGCTTCAAATCCAGGAACTAAGCCGTAGACAGATTAGCGTCATTATGGATTGATCGCGACCTCAAAATATCTTCTTATTTGTCGGATCACGGCGCGAGTTTAGAGCTTCAAATCTCATATCAACGCGAATCAATATGTTGTGCTCAAGTAAGTTTTGAAAGCTCCTAGAATTTATTTGGTACTTGCCATTGACTTTTTATAGTATCTGGAGAAGCCCCACAGCATCCAGTTGCTTCATCGAAATCAGGTAAGTGGTGTAAACAAGGTATCTATCCAGTGAGCTTAAGAATAACAGATTGCAGGCAACGTTTTCGAAAAACGACTCATCGAATCATACATTTCAGAAAATCATAAGGATCCAGTTACGGGAGAAGACCTCGAAATCGCAGATCTCATCGACCTCAAATCCGCCAAAATTGTTACTCCCAGACCTCCAACTCTCACATCGATTCCTTCTCTCCTTTCCACTTTCCAAAATGAATGGGATGCATTGGCATTGGAAAGTTTCACAATAAGACAACAATTACATCAGACGCGACAAGAGCTGTCGACAGCATTGTATCAACACGATGCAGCTGTAAGAGTTATTGCGCGGTTGACAAAGGAGAGAGACGAGGCTAGAGATGCGTTGAGCAAGGTTTCAATTGGTGCAGGAAGTGCAGGAAATGGCGACGCTATGCAGGTTGATACTCAAGGTCTTCCAGAAAATTTGGCGACTCTGGTTGATACTACACAAGCCGAGTACGAGACTTGACGAGACCCGAGTTATAAATTCGATTGCTAACGAATATACAGACTTTCCAAAAGCCGCCGAAAGCGACCCGTTCCAAAAGGATGGGCTACCACTGAAGATATTGGCCAATTTACGATCACTTCTACTTCAGAACCTTTATACCCTGGGTGTGTTTCACTCGCCCAGACCGAAGATCACTTAATTGTCGGTGGATCGAAAGGAGAGGCAGGTATCTATTCTTTAGCTGAACAAAAGATCACAAAGTCATTTGAAGCCGGAGGACCAGTCACGGGAGCTGCTTTCTATAAAAGTACACCTATTGTGTCTACTGCAAAGGGAGAGGTGAAGGTGTTTGGAGATGAAGAGCATACATTTACATCGCATGCTGGAGCGGTCAATGCTCTTGCATTACATCCAAGTGGTGAAATTTTAGCCTCTGTTGGTATCGACAAGAGCTTTGTTTTCTATGATTTGGCTGAGAAAGCGGCAATCACACAGATTTATGCAGATTCAGGTATGTCAATTTTGTAAATGGGAACCTGTCTGGCGCAAGCCTCGTTGACATCTTCTAGAACTTAAAACGGCAGCTTTCCATCCAGATGGTCATCTCTTTGCAGCTGGCGGCGCTGATGGACAGATTAAGTTATTCCATGTCAAGACAGGAGAAAGCGCTGGTGTAAATTTCGAGATTGACGGACCAGTCCAGGACGTTGCCTTTTCTGAGAACGGTATATGGTTTGCGGCAGTTGCCAAAGGATCTACCAGTGTTGTAATTTTCGATATCCGAAAAGAAGGAAAGGCCGCGGAGGCGAAGATTTTAGAAATCGGTGGACCAGTTGATGCTATCCAATGGGATTACACTGGTCAATTTTTGGCAGCTTCTGGACCAAGAGGGCTTACTATTTCCCAATACACCAAAGCTACGAAATCCTGGTCGGATGCTTTGAGCGTAGCTGTTCCAGCAACTGCAGTACAATGGGGCGAGGAAGCCAAGAGTTTGATCACTGTTGATAGTGAAGGAGTTGTGAATGTCCTTGGTGTAGCACCTGCATAATGGAATATGCATGATAGGGGGTCAAAGGAAACCGAGATGGGACGTGAATATCATGGAGTTTGGTGATTCGAAGATGTGAAATGGAATAAAAATTAGGGATAGGGCCCCTTTTCACATGTTACTATAATGTTAGGGGAGCAGCATCTTTGGGATGCCCAAAATGAACAATAGTGGCGGCACAGACCAGCCAGCACTGAAACAAGACACAAGAGTCTGAGGTTGATAAAGTGGTGAAATAGAGAAATGATGGTAATGCGTAGTCAAAGTAGGCATCTCCAGATATTATGGGAATAGAGATTGAATAGTGAATACAATTCGAACTCGTATTTATTGTTGTATTGTATTGCACTGAATGCTTACAACAGCCGCACATTGCTGAAGGGTCTTCCGAGGTTGGACATTGTAAATACCTACATATCTACCTAGTACATCATCACGGAGGTACTCGAGTAGATGCAGTATCTTCAATTCTACTTTAAGTGGCAACTAAGTAAAGAATTTCACTTCGGAACAAAGATGATAAATCACCTGAGTGTAAATTCTTTCACAAATTCTACTGCACTCCACATACGACTCTGGTTCAATTATGAAATCTAATAAAATACACCCAGTAGCACGGTAGATTGTGTTCGCTTACTCATATCAATTTCTCATAATCGTCACTAGTTCTATATCAAATTGGGTCCAACTGGAACAACTTCGACTTCTTGTTACAACAACACACAACACCCCCACCACAAAAGAGACACATTCGATCACATACATACCATCGACTTATTGAGCAAAAGGATCTCTGTTCACCTCCTGATTTTGGTCAAGAGTTGTTCCTTTCCTTTTCAATCCATAAAAGTAATCAAAACTCCGAGCGCATATACTGGTGAGTTCTATCCACCATGGAGAATGAATGGTTAGGAAGTCGGGAAAGTCGTAAGGTAGGAAGCAAATGTTTACTTGTTTTCTTTGAGTAAAAGGTATATTTGGTTGGTTCTTTCTTTACTGACAATTTTTTTTAAAGCGATCTCTTGCAGAAATGTCTCAATCACATCCAAGAATTTCGTTGTCGCCGGAGTTTTTTCGAGAAAGTACCTCAAACTTGGGTAACTCCTCTTCAAGAATTGCACCACCTAACGTCGCCACATCCCCTCTCCGAGAACGACAAAGACGACGATCACCAAACCTCAATAATAATTCTGGACAATCTAGTCTGCGCAGTCGGCGTGCCGGTGGACATACTCAACCAGCAGGGGAAGTCGGAACAATGGAAGCATCATCTCGGCGCCACCGCCCGGTAGTGAACTCAGAAAATGTTATTGATTTAACATCCGATCAAGATGACGATCCTTCACCCCAAGTTCGAATTAATCCTGCAGCTGTTCGTAGGGCAGCCAACGGTCGAAGACACAACACACCTTCACCCTCACCCTCAGGTTCGCCTTTTCCTGCAGGCCGTATGCCAGCTCACAATCGGAATCCTACTGCATCGAGACTACCACCGAGATTAGGGAGAAGTGAAGCAAGATTAGAACAGTTTGTGGATCTCACAGGAGATGACGACGATGATGAGGATGACACTATTATCATAACTCATTCTCGGGAACGTTCCGTACCTCTACCTCCCCGTGCCCCGCCACTACCACCAATGCATGCTAGACTTGGAGTTTTTGAACGTTTGCAGAGACAGAGGAATGGGAGAGCTACCCCGCCTGGATTTGTAGCCGGTCATCTCGGTGGCAATCCAATGAGTCCACAAAGACCAACGCCGGCAGGCCCCAATGGTGAACTTGCGTTTGGTGGATTGAGAAATATGTACGACAACGGTGCGGGTATTATCATGGACGTCCATAATTTCTTGGGTTTTGGGGGTCGAGATGTTCATTTATTTGCAGATTTTCCAGCTATGCCAAACGGTATGGATTATGGAAGAGTGGCTTTACAAGAGAACAAACCCGAACATGTTGCGCCTCCAGCAGTTCCCGCAGGATTTACGAGATCGCCCACGGAGAGTGATACTGCGATTTGCCCGAGTTGCGAAGAAGAATTGATTCATAGAAAGGATGGTGAGGAGCCAGTAGCAAAGAAATCTCGTGGGGCACCGAGTAAAAAGGATAGAGAAGAACATCCATTCTGGGTCGTTAAGGATTGTGGTCATGTAAGTTCAATTTATTTCACTTCTACCTACCATCATTAACATCGAATAGGTCTTCTGCAATAAGTGTTTTCAAAACCGCACAAACGACAAAATATCCTCCTTCCGCGGAGCCAAGACAGTCCTTTGCGCAGTTGATGAATGCGAATCGATTGTTAAAAACAAGGATAGATGGGTGGGCATTTTCTTGTAACTTCACGATTTCGAGCCTACAATTCTAGGACGCTGGGCAATCTCAATCTTTTTTTTTCTGTGTCCAAATCAATAGGATACTATTTCACGAATCATCACCATACGATTTCTCTAGTTTCAAGGAGTTTTAGCATCATTGGTATCATTTACAGGATGGAGTACAAGGGCACTGGGGTGAATCCTAGTTGATTCACATAGGGCGGGCTTGGGCTTGGCTTATATTATTGTGTTCTCCACACCGGGGCGTTTTTGAGGGGAAGGGAAGGGGTGGAATGGGAAAGGAAGGGAGTAATTTCAAGTGCATAGACAGAGGAATCTATGTCCTTGAGACTCGGAAAATTAATGGAAAATAATGTCAGCGGGGGTTTGTGGAGTGGGTGGAGGAATTGAGCAAGTGAATAGGAAACATGCTCTGATATTCCAGCGACGAAATACGAATAGGTATCTCACATCTTCTCTTCTGATGATACCGGGGGAAGCATGTATATTAGAGGGGCAGCATAGCGAATACACAGCAATTGCGTTAGCATATTTGAAATGGTTATGTTTTGTGGTTATGCTTTTGTGGGCTGTGAGCCTGAATGATGTGGTGTGAATGATTCTGGTGAAGAGAAAGCGGCTGGAAAGAAGCGGGAGAGTAGGGGGAGAACGGGGATGATGGAAACGATGAAAGGGAAGGAGAGTGGGTTGAAAATGCGTGGTAGTAATCTGCTCTTCTGCATTATGTGTCTCTATCTGGTAATCCTTTTTCTCCATTCCATTCCATTCCCTAAGAACCTACTTTTCCACCCGGAAGCCTTGCTTCTCCCTC